AAAAAGGAAACAAAGAAGAACGAAGCACTTACATAAGGTTCTATGTGTATGTGAGGATTCTGGAGAAGACTCTGAACAACTCGCATCAAAGCAAATAGAAGTGCATAATCATTCAAGCCACGAGCAACCTTATATACATTAAGAACAGTTGGTATAAGTAACCAATGGCTTCATATCTTACCCTTCTTGTAGCTATCATTCACAGTTTCAAGAATTATACCTCGTCAGCGATAAAGCATGTGAAATAAGGAACTAATGGATGAAGTCCCGAATCAGTGGCCAAACTCACTAATGCTTCTTTAAACAAAACCAAATCAGACCTACTCACAACAAGCTCAGTGATTTTGTCAAAATATAACTGCAAAGACAACAAAGAGAAGGAATATGTAAACAAGCTGCAAAATGAAGTACTTCCAGTATAGGATCAGACAAGTGAAATATGTACCTGAAGCTCCCTAGATAATACATGCTTAACAGGTAATTTAATGTCAACGGGAAGTCCATCGCCCTTTTGTTCATAACTTTTACCATCAGAAGGAGGTGCGAGTACTACAGAAGAAGAACACAAATTACACAAATTCCATAAGTGAGATCCCAAACTTGAGCTAACAAAAGTAAAAAAATGGAGTTAATTCTAGTTCCCCATAATTGTAATAAAAAAAATTATCAGTGGATACAAAGATTGAATTCCAGACAACCAAAAAAGAAGAATGTGACACAAACTGCAGACAACCTTACACTCACAAAATCATGAAAAATGTCTTGTACATTGGATATACCGAGTAGTTTTTAAGAAAGAAGATATTAGGCATTTCATGCTTCACACAACTTTAGACTTTAGATAGTGCTACAAAACCCATAGAATGCTTTACTTTACTACAGCTAATTCCTAGAATACCAAAGTCTTAACCTTTTCATATTCTGAAGTAATCAAAACTCCTAAATTGGAAGTGTGATTTGTGATCAACAATTATTCACACAATCTTCAAACTTAGAAAAAAAAAACCTTCTAGAGGAGCATTTTCTGGAATTGCAGGTTGTACGCCTTCTATAGCAAGCCAGTGACAAACAATTCCAGTATCAAGCGGTGCTTTTGGTAAAGGAGCTTCAATCACCTACAGTAAAACATAAATGTGAAAGATTAGAAGGAAACATACAAAATCAAGTAGAAAGTGAAATCAGATTACTCAGTAACACATACATCTTTAAAATCCACATCCTTTTCGTCAATGTAATACAAATCCCTGTGCCCAATAGCTCTTTTGAACCGCAAAGGACCTCCGGAAACATAACCATAGATTGGCTGGTGCAAGTCAAAGGAAGCAAAATGAGATTTCAAAGAATAAACAAAACCATGTTAATGAAACATATCGAAAACCTCACCTCTACATTTCTTATGTTGAGTGCACCATCAACATCGTCAGCTGTCAATCTAGTTCTCCTCGAGTGACGCATGCATTTAATAGCCTCCTGTACTTCCATCACAATGAAATCATACTCAACCCTCCAATGTCTCAAATCCCAATTCACCAAAAAAGCATAACTACATTATCTTTTTCACCGACGAATCAAGACAAAACCAACTCAACTTCCAACTATTCAGTCCAATCTTACCACAAAAACAAGTAAACCCAATTCCCAAATCTTACATATTTTACTAGTTCAACCTTCAACGATCGAAAACGACAACGTCAAAACAAACCCACATCAGAATTAAGCCGGAAAAGTTGAAAATTTACCTGCATGATCTCACGGAGGCGGTATTCGACATCGGGGGCGAGAGCAAGAGCAGCATCTGGAGACAAGTTGTTGATTCCTATGCTCTGTGCAATTACTTCAACATTCTCTTTGGGCACAATGCTCATTATTCTCGACTGCTTCCTACTGACCACAGTCTCACAGCAGTGTTTCTGAAACAAGCAAGCACGGTAAGCAATTTCCCATCAAAAACTTTGTTTAGTAAAAAGTAAAAACGCAAACATTTTGTGAATCCTGGTGTGTAAGATCTTATGGAATGAATAAAAACGGATTTTCTTTCCTACCGTTGAAATTTTCGGGGCAGCCAAGAAGAACCCTAATACGCACGAATGAAAACGTCAGCTTGAGCAACAGTAGCTGCAGGCTTCGGTCGTTCACTCGGGAAGGAAGAAGAAGATTCAGTCTGATAAAAAAATAATAATAATAATAATAAGAAAAGCAAGGTCCAAGGAGGATTTCGGATAAATACCCGGGTCGGGTTAGAAAGTCAAATATTCGAGTCGGGCCTCAAACTGCTGGTCAAAGTGCTAAACACAACCCTAAGGCCCGTTACTCCTCTAGAAAACGTTTATACAGTTGTGCTTATTTTCACTTCTGTTAGAAGTGGTTTTATTAAAATTACGTTTGAACGTGTAAAGTTTTAAGTTTAATTTTAATCAAAGGTGAATTTTAACCACATTAGTGTTATCTCATTGTGAAACTAAGTTCACTCTTCCCTTAAGATAAATAATAACGTTTGTTCAAGAAAAAAAAATGATTTGAAATAAAAAGTACTTGAAAGTAATTGCTTACGCTTTTCTCAAACCTAATCCAAAAGCAGTCTTAAACATGTCCAAATAATTGGTTGTGTAGTGGAGCCATAACACCTCTAATGAGAAATGCAGAATGCCTTGAAATTAGCATTTACATGTTTTGTTAGTTGGAAAGCTCTCTGATGAAATAAATATCGATCTTCATCGAAATTGTAAATATACATCTTTTTCTATGCTTTAGAAGATGGGCGCAATGAGTTATAGAAAGAAAAATGTAAATGTACATTCACGTTTCCATGTCCCCAAGATGCAAATGAGACGTAAATGTGATTTTTACTTTTCAAATTTGCATATCTTCACTATAGATGCTCTAATCAAGGAGAGTACCAGAGTTCTCAAATTTATTCACCATCGCAGTTAAAATTACATTAAAAGCATCATAAACTACTTAGGTCGGTAGAATACCCCAGCTCTCTATGAATCGTAGCAAATCGAACTATGGTTCAAGTCTTAATGATTCTAGTGACCTTTTAGATCACATATCGGTTTTACGAAGAATACTTCCTTATTTTATTGGAAGTTTTAACAAAACACTCACGGTATTGTTCACTTTTAACAAAAATGACATTTTTACTCTAAAAAGTCACTCCTGGTACTATTCACTTACAACGCCTTTTTGTCATTTTGATTAAAACTCAAAGTTTGAAAGTCATTTTCATTAGTTTCCTTTATTTTATTGTATGTATTCTTCATCCGTACCTCTTTATTTATCTCCTCGTGTATTGATTTTGGTATAAAATTGTAACATGCAAGTGGTTTTTTTGATGAAAATGGGAAGACAGACACCTAAATAAAAGAGTGAATTGCAGCAATGGTCCCTCAACTTTAATCAAATTGGAGCAATGGTCCCTCAACTAAAAATCTATTATCATTGGTCCCTCAACTCATCAAAATGTGTAGCTATGATCATTTTCGTCAACTCCGTCAAAATTTAGTCAAAATGAGTTATGTTAGAAGGACCATTGCTACAATTGGATTAAAGTTGAGGGATCATTTCTCTAATTAAGTTAAAGTTGAGGGACCATTGCTCCAATTGGGTTAAGGTTGAGGGACCATTTCTCCAGTTGAATTAAAGTTGTGGGACAATTGATACAATTTTTCTTATTTGATTTTCCATATTTGCCCTTTGATTTAGCCTCACGTGTATGACACGTGACTCATTTTGATGGAAGTTCTAACAGACCATAGCGGCACCTTTTAATGAGTTGAATGATCAAAGCTAATGAATTTTTAGTTAAATGACTACTGTTACAATTTACTCAAATAAGAAAGTTCCACTCGATTTTAGGCAGGAAAAACTTGATGGTAAAGTTTTAAAGGTAAAAAAAACTGTCCCATCATAGTCCTAATATGAAAAGCATCTCTATCTATATTACTTAAAAATCCCAAACCTTAATCTCCCAAAAAAAAAGAAGGAAAGGGAGAAAGCCAATGCTCATTTTCCACTTTTAGCACAGCAACACACCCCAAGCAATTAAATTGCTACACATTGGTGTTGCATTTCACCTTTTCTAAACACATCTTATCCATCCAGCAAATTATAGTACGACCTCATTCTTGGATGTTGGCCTCTCAACCAGCGCCTAAAGTTGTCGGCATGATTTCATTTGGATTAAAATAAAGACCACCTAAGTTACACTGAGCCACCAAAGTCACGTGAATGATACATATTAATCCAATGCATATTTTAAAGTTACGTAACGAGTGAAATAGTATAGTGGATATGAACTCATTTACATTTAAATTTTCATTTATTAGAAGACAAGATAAATCATATGAAGAGTGAGATAGAGTAATCAAAAATCATGTAACGAGTGAGATAAGGTGATAGACTCTGGACGTACTCAAGTTTCTCTTCACTAGAGAATAGAAGAAACCACGTGATGAGTGAGAGAAGGTGATGTGTTAAAGTCAGGTGATTCTTACATTAGATGTCACATGAGATAAAGTGATAAAACTCTGGCCATATACTCAAGTTTCTCTTAATTAGAGAACATAAGAAGTCACGTAATGAATGAGATAAATTGATATGTTAAAGACATATGATTTTAACATTAGATGTCACCTAAGTATATTTCATCTGAGTATATTTCAAAGTCACACGTTAAGTGAGATAAATGAACGTAGATATTCTTAAATGACATTCAATTTTTTTCTCTACAAAAAGAGCAGAAGAAGTAACCATAAAGTAAGACATAGCCCTAACGGCAAGTAAGCTTTATATGAGGCCAATGTGCTGAACCCATGTGCAAAAAGTGGATGAAAAAGCAAACCCACCATGCCACCCCTCATCATCTAATCTTTCACTTTTCATCTTCTATTATTTTTCTGATTAAATTACAGATCCATCCAGCTCTAAAGCCTTCTCTACTCTGCAGATCTTCTAATTAAATCCCATTTAACAAGTAATTTTCTCCTAATTAAATGTATTAGTTTCTAAGAGATGTATTAGAACTCTAAAAAAAGTCAATCTTGCATTCCTTGTCGGACAAAAAATGAGGAAGAGAATGTTGCAGGATGACTTTTTCGGAGTGCTAATAACAATCCCGGGTTTATTTCTTCTCTTTATAAACACTTCTACACTGAATCTTACTATGGTTAGTAGTATAATTGAGTGAGAATCTCAGTGCACTAATCAACTATTTCCTGAAGCATATGTATTATGTAGACTCAGCTACTCTGGATGGTCTCGTTGTAATTGGCAACACTCTTTTGAGCATCTTCTTTGAGCTTTCCAGTTGAGATGGGCATCAATGGAGGTTTGGTCAGGAGTGTTTTCTCGAGACACCGATCTTTCGGGACGTACGAGAGCAACGTGAGTTGCCGCCATACATGCTGCAACCCTCTCCTGCTAACTGTGCTATGTATTAATGTGATCTGTGTTTTTGTTTGATGGCATCAGGTGAGGAGCAATGTGACAGAGAGGAGAAGATGGAGCTCGGTTAGATGGTACCTATGTGGGGATGAATATAATTCCGTCATGGCGGAGAATGATTCGGCTTCAGTTAAGAGCTCCGTGGCTACTACCGCCACGCAGTTTAATTCAGTTTTAGCCGTTGCAGACGAGGAGTCTAGTTCAGTTGGGAGCTCCGAGGCAACTGTCACGCAGCCGATGCCAGAAGACTTGAGTGACAAGGGAAACATCGGAAGAGAAGCAACTAAGGAAGATGTGGAAGTGGCAAAGGCTGGGTCTGCGGTCTCCAAAACAATGTCCGAAGAGCATGCAGCAACCATCATCCAGTCAGCATTTAGAGGCTTTCGGGTAATTCGACACTGTCAAATTACTTCAATTCGCTCATCTTGTAGAAAAATAAGTTTTAATTCAACAGAAATTACAAGTATTCAAAGATCTTTGGTAGGATTTATGTTACAATTTTCTTTTGAAAGGACGACATCGGCTCTAGTCAATGTGCCTACACCCGCGATCTCTGCAGGTTTATGTTACAATTTAAGCTAGAGAGATAACCAAAGTTATCTTAAAATTGTTTCGAAAATGCTAAATCGTTCTTCATTTATTTCTTTGTGAAAATTTGCGTTACTGCACTGGAAGTTCTGGCTAATAGTCATTAGAATGCTTGGATTTCAGACGAGGTGTCGAAATGGAGGAGCTAAATCAAAGGATGGAGAGCAGGAAAGTCCAAGTAGGGGATCTCTGGGCACGTCGGTTGAAGTTCAAACAGGAAATTCTGTGGAAGTTTACTCGATTCAAGGAGAAAATTCGGCTGCTCACCACCGGGCACAACAGAAAGCTCAGGCGCTAAAACTGAAGGTATACCGCAAACAACTCTTCCATTCGATTCTTACAAGTTACAACTGTGTAATGCTAAAACCACATTCGTTAAAATTTACAGGAAGATTGGGATGACAGCACGGTGAGTAGTAACATATCAAAAATAAGAATGCAGAACAGACTGGAAGCAACAAGAAGGCGTCAGAGAGCACTGGCTTACGCCTTTTCACAGCAGGTACATCTGAAATTCATTCTATCGTGGAACCGATGATTCAACCTCTCTCTATCTCTATCTCACGCGACGTGAACGATAAGAGAATAAGAGAAATCACGTGACTGAGAGATAGAGAGAGAGTGATAAATAACCGACTACACTCAAGATTTTTCCCTGAAAGAGGTCCTAAGACTTCTAGTATGGTTTGGAAACTATTTAACTTAGTATTATTTGTTTAAAGCTAAGGATCTGCTCAAAGAAAAGGCACACCACATCTGATGGCACAGAACAGAACATGGGTTGGAGCTGGCTAGAACGGTGGATGGCAACCCGCCCTACTGAAATCTCCTCCGCGGAAAGTCATATAAGCGACCAGGTTGAACAAATTCACAGCAGCAACCAAAGATTTGTCATCGGAAAGAGACTGTTCGACGGGGCAGGTGAAGAAAAAGAGAGCTGCGGATCTAATGAAGTCGGTGTCCTATTTGATAACTTTCCGGTAACACCATTAGAGAGAGATGGCTTCAGTCCAACTAAAAACAGGTTCAAGACTACAAGAAGCCTATCGAGGCAAAAATCAATGCCAAGCTATGTGTGCGGGAAAGAGTATCCCAAGGTAAGGACATGTCCATTATTTGAGCTATGATCCGAACTGAGATTGTCAAAAGAGGATCGACATTTGAAGAACAAAATTACTAAGTTCCAGCGTTTGTTTCAATGACTGGCTTCGACATTGATACAGGTAAGCAAGAAGGATTGTTCACGGGAAGCCGATAAAGATGAAGAGCGCAACAGAAAGCGAACAGAGAGAAGCAAGTGCAGAAACTCTTCGTTCTAAGGAACATAATTCCCAACTAGGATCTCTGTTAAGTAAATAAGATTCTTGTTACTATTTACCATGCACTTTGTATGAGGATTCTAATGGACTTGACCCTTAATGTAATCTGATGCTTGATACCTGAGAGTTAAAAACATTCAACTCACAGAACCTCATCTTCTCCGAGGGACCAACGAAGGTAAAAATACTAGGTAAAACATCGTCAACGACAAGAAGGCTGTTAAAAAGGGAAGAACCTGCGTGACGAAACCAGTTATTCGAAAAAGAAGACAAACATAACGAATATATTAGCAATAACAGATGTTACATGAAACATAACCAATTCCCCACCATCGGGAAATACAGAACCATACAAAGCCAACTGCCAATCCAAGTTTAGCTTATACTATTGACAAGTAACTGCCAATCATTAACGGCAAAACATAATATCGAAGTAAAGTTTTGATCTGAAAACCTATATCTTATCGATATCTTCATCCTCAAACTCAATATAGTCATCAACACCGCCTTCGGTTTCTTCATCGTCAATACCCCCAGCAATACCCTCGTTGAGACGTGTATTCTCTGGAAGCTCTCCATATGCCTTGAGGAGCCTAGCCTCATCAGGCATGTACTTGAGGATCACATCAGCTTTGTCGTCCTGATAGTCACGAAGACCGACAAGAATGATATCGCCAGCTGCAATCCAAACCTTCTTGTGCATCTTACCACGGATGTGACAAAGTCGCTTGGTCCCATCTATACACATGGCTTCACACCGACCGTTGCCAAGCATTCGGAGCACTTGGGCATACTCCTGTCCATCTTCCTTAAACACAAGCTCACGCTTTTCGTCATCAGCCTCGTTCTTACCTCTCTTCCTGTTCTTTCCTCCCTTACCCTTGTTCTTCGGCATGCTTACGAGTTCTGTTTCTGCAACCAAAGTAGAATCAGATACTCAAACTCGAAAATCAACTGCTTCTATAAGTTCATAAATTATTTACAAACACCAAAACTTTATGGTTTACAACATACTCAAATTTCACGAAACCAAAGTTTCATCGGACAAAAACGTGCCATAAAGCAAACAATTTTCCGTTCCACCGCCCAGTTTTCAGGAGATAAAAAACAAAACAAATTTTGGAAAACAACAAAGACTATGTTCCCAATCTTTTTTTTTATTTAAAAACAAAAAGGAGATTCCCCAGGACAGGAGGGGGGCCAGAAGACTTGAAGAGGCAATTCAACCACTCCTGGCCACCATCGTGCACCCGGAATCGAAAACAGGACGTCCCCACAGAAAAAAACCCTAAAAATATAGGTTAACAAAATATTTTTTTTTTCAATGAATTCAATACTAAATTCCAACAGAAATAGATTCTAGGTCTGTTCAGCTGACTCAAACAACACTTAATTCGATTTCAGAGAAGAAAAAAAGATTCAAAATTTAATCATTCAAACATAAATTTAACTTCAAGAAATAAATACAATTCATCCAAATTAGGGGAAAACCAATTAAACCAATAAAATTAACAAAATTCAGATAACATGGAAAATTAGGAAGAACAAATTCTCTGAAATTCAAAAAACCCACACAAGATTAGATCAGATCCCAAAAAAAATAAAATTCAACATACAGCTCGCTCTATCGATTTACAAGTAAACCACGAACGAAGCAAACCCTAGAATCCATAACAATTTCAGAAGACGAAGAAGGTAGGAGAAGATTACCTCTGTTGTGCGAAAAGGCGAAACTTGGAGGAGGATTCGACGGCGGAGCACAATCTGAAAAAATATCTGAGCTTTGTAATCGAATGGAGAGCCCTAACTAGCACGAAGCTCGTATTTGTACCACAAAAGGTCAGGTGGGCCCAAGTTGGGCCGGGCCCAAAAAAAATTACATTGACCCGAAGTTTAGAGGCTTGGGCTTATTGGAATAGAGAGAGAGAGAGAGAGAGAGAGAGAGAGAGAGTGTGTGTGTGTGTGTGAGACAAGAAAGAGAGGGCTTAGAATATATTACTTGCTCGGCCAGTAATGCAATTATTTCGGGAGATATTACTTGCTCAACAAGTAATGTAATTGCATAGAGGATGGAACGTCTACATTTCACAGGTACCCTCACCTGGCATTCACAAAATCGGCTCGATTTCTATCATGTCTACCGAAAACACTAACACAGATGACCAAAACGCCGGCAAGGTGGAAACAATGCAGCGGCGGCAGCATCACGTACCTGAAGGTGTTATCCACGGAATCCTCCGACCCCTTCCCACTATCCCTGCGGTTCGCATGAGCTTTCTTTTCAAGCAGTAGGAAGGCCTCAGGTCTTCAGGCTTTGTATTAGGTTTCGTGTAGGACAACCTTGATGGCGAACTTGATGATCGACCAAGAAACTTCATCAACACTTGCGACAGGTACATAGACCAGTTCCGTGAGTGCGACAAGATTTCCATAGACAAATTCATGCTAATATTGAATAGAATAGAACAGAAACTATGTGCGGGTGATGGCACACCCATCAAAAGAATGTCACTCTTTTTTGTGTGGAATCGAGTTGGAAAACGAATTTCACAACTTGAGCGAGTACGGCATTTGTGAATTTTCCGAGATCCTTTTGTTCCTCAAGACCGTCGGGGAGATTGAGTCTTGTGCAGAGCCGGCTCTAAAGGTAGCCGGAGTAGGCGCCTACCTAGGGCCCCCACTTCGGAATGGTCCCCAATTTTTAGGCGGAGCCAGGTAGGTCTAGACGGAGATGGGCTTCATGCGGGCTTATATGTAAACGTCGGAATTTGAAAATCTTTTGCTACAGGGTCGGTTTCGTGCGAGGAAGAAGACAACCATATTCCCAACATCATTTTAATTGCTCGATTTTACTTAAGATGATCCCACCATCTTTTTTATAGTTGCATGTCTTCTCCCCTTTAAATAGTCCCACCATCTTATTTTTACTTTTTTGCTTTTCTCTTAAAGATCACCTTTATGTTTATCCATTCATTCATTTATTGAATATAATAAGTACCATTGTAATAATAGAAAAATGATTGAAATTTGAACGCGAGATGTGTAACATTTGAATAATGTTTGTATATCTTTATATATATATATATATATATATATTATTTTTAATGATATTTGATGTAGAAATAGACTTTTCATGTATTTAGTGATTTTTTTTTTTTTTTTTTTACACATGTCAATGTACAAAGGGTCAGGAGTCAAAGAACTCTAGGACCCCACTTCGAAGGATCGCCTATGCCCCCGAATTCTCAAGGCCAGCCCTGGTCTTGTGGTACAAACTGCCTCGAGTTTGCTCGATGCGACCAGCATTCTGGTGAAACTGAAGACTCGAGCACAGTCAATGAGCAGAGGCAACTGGTTACGAGCAGAAAACTTCAGCTTCAAGCGGCATTTGGGGACAGTCTATCGCAGTAAACATTGATATGCACAAGAACAGTAATCCTATCGCTGAAAATCATTCGTAAACTAGTCATAGTACCGAAGATCTACAGAGAAGCATAAGTAATATGCGTTCCAATGATTTATTAAGTTGAATTAACCATCTAAAACATCATTAAATACAAGAAAAGCTGAATTAAATTTCCGCGTTCCTGTTTCTGCATGCATAGCTAAGGCAAAGCTAAAAATTCGATCAGCTCTTTCATGCTCCAACTGAAGGGGGCAATACGCGTTCAGTTGATTTTGCGACCCATCTTGAACTCCGTTGTCAGTCATCGGATGTTACAATCATTTTCAAGAATGAAGATCAGACCATCCAAAGGGAGCTTTTGTGGTGTTTCGTTTTCCCATTTCAGATCATCAAGCGTTACAGCTATAAGCAATTCTACACACATCTGTAATGCAACAGTCCTGGGGAGCTTCTGCTAGGTTCAATATTCTACCTTCGAATCAACAGGCATTTACATTTGATCATTCGGGTGGAGCGACCTTTGATCTCCAAGTATGGTACTTACACCCTGCAGTTTCATCATGCAGTGATACTTTGGAGGTGCAATGGCACCTGCCTGTGTGCATAGTTCTACTACTGCCGGAGCATGCCCATAAAATCCCCTCCCTTCATTCAAAAGCACTTGAGGATCCTGAGGACGCCGCCGCCATACAGTCTTTGGAGTTACAAGATCATCTACATTTGCCTTCCTCCAAAAATGGGTTCCCTGCCAACTCTCATACTTAAAAATTCCGCAAAGCCTAGCCTTATGCCCAGATGGCCCAACATGAACTTCTGAACAATGTTTACAGACTTTCGCTGGATAAACCATCAGCAACTTCTCCACGCCATTTCTAAGTATTTCCCATGCCCTCAAAGTTCCACTGGCAACCAGAATCAGTTCATCAGATGACAAAGACTCAGCTCCATCAACGCCAACACAATCCCTTTCAGAGTTCCAATTTAAATGATTTCCATCATGTGCCCCTGCTTGCCAGCATAGCTCGACAACTGCAGGAACACGTTCAAAGTCAAACCTCTGATGGTGTTTTATAACATCCTGGAACATGTGCTTGAGGTGAAATGCCTCTACTGGAACAAGCACATCTTTCAAACCACCAACTATCCATTCATGAACTCGATTTTTGCCACGACGTTTGAAGCCACAACAAGTCTGAATTAAGTGGCCTTTCTCACCTATATATACTTCTGGACAGAACCTGCAAAAAGTAGGCCTTTCGTTGAGTCACAGAAATTGTTCAAAAAGAGCTGTATGGAGAACGGAAGGTCAATTAGATAAATCTAGTTTGGAAAACATAGCTTGGGCTGCACCTAAAAATAACATTTAGGGAGCTCAGGAGTCAGGAACATTCAGATAAAGTGGTCTAATTATTCCAAAACAAGAAATACAGAACATAAACTCTAGAGCTTCAAAGTCGGTATTATTCCAGGACATGACATGTCAGTAACTATGCGATGGAACAATGAAGTGCCAAGTAGGTCAAAGCTTAAAAAGAATTAATTTTATAAGCAAACAAATACTTGGCAGATGAGGAATTTACTTGCAGGCCAAAACTGGTACCATTTTGAGGAGAGTAGAGACACCTTGCATAACGAGCCTCCGGGAATCAAGGACCTCCTGGGCAACTGGTAACATGGCCGGCACTGGGTAATCTTTAGCTCGGTTTTGGATTCTCTTTTGAATCATAGGCTTTAGCTTCCTTAAGTCCATCTTCGAGCTGTAATACCTTGCAAAGCTGTCCATAATTTTGCCATTGAAATTGGATCTCTCGCACAATTTCTTCCTCAATGCCATAATTTCGTTTTGGTGCCAAAAATTTTACACAAAATAAATCACATCTGCTCCACAAAAGGGTAGACAAAAAGCCAATGAGTCAATCCAGAAAACATAACAAGAAGTTAGAACAAAACCAATATTTTTACATAAGAACAGAAAAGACGGAGACAGAGCATCAACTAAGAGCAGAAGAAAGCAGAAATCAGAAGAAAGCATATTAAAGCAGGCAAAAAAGACGGAGACAGAGCGTCAACTAAGAGCAGATTTCCTCCAGATTTGCTTAATGCAAAACCATAAAGTGAGTTGTAATCTAAAGGCTCCTACCTTAAAATTAGACGTATTTATCAAATATATCATTTAATAATCCTCACGCATGTAATTATCCTAAATAATCAAATGCGAAACATATATCATAATCTTCGGTTGAGAAAGTCAGTTTGTTTTATTGGGTTTTCACTATTTTCAAAATCAATATCAAATTTTGTAAGGATGAGAAAAGAATTTGCCTTTGGGAAAGTCTGAACGGTTGCGGCGGTTGGTAGAATCGAACTGAGATTCAACTTCCAAATATGAAGACTTTAAGCCACAATTGTTCTTTCTTAACTTTAGCTACTTCAACTACATAACCGGAAAAAAAATAATTTAATTATAGTTTAACTAATCTGCGTTAAGATTAATCAAAAAGCTTGGAAATTTCAGATCTAAAATCACACCTCAAGCTGCAAGTAGAATCAAAACTATGGAATTTCAAAACCACTCACCTTAAACACAGAGGTCCTCGCAGCCTTCAAGAAAAGTCACAAACTCGAAAAACCCAATCTCCTGAAATCGAAAACAAAACCAAATTAACCATCATCACCCAGAATCCGAAGCTACAAACAAAATTCCCAAAATCAGAACAAAAAAACCCATTTAAAATCCAAATTTACACTCGCAAGAATATAAAATTCAAAGCAAACAATTACCCAAATCACATCGGCAGCAGGAGATGCAATCTTTTATGGGCTTCAAATTTTCTTCAAATCGAGACCAAATTCGCTATTTTTCAGCAAGAGAGCGTTGCCGTTTTAACCCCCGCCGAATAGATCTAAACCAATTTGACTGACTTGAGCGTTTTCTGGAAGAAAGCAAGGCACATAGAGAAGTGGAGATCGGAAAGCAAGGCAAAGAGAGGTTTGAGAGAAACAAAAGGCTTCTCTGAGAGAGAGAGAGAGAAAGAGAGAGAGAGGGAAATGAAAAGAAGAATCCCGAACAGAAACGTTATAGTCTGCGCAGAACACGCGTGGCGAAGGAGGGCAAATCCGCCCTTTAACTGTTCAACCAAGTGAAAAAACGCCAGCGAATAAACCAAATCGAGGGCATTTTTGCCATTTTACTGTCCGTGAACAGTGCATCCGAGTTTGGGTTTTAGTATAGAAACATAATTACTTGCTCCGAAAGTGACGCAATTATTTCGAGAGACATTACTTGCTCAGCAAGTAATGCAATTACATATAGTATGGAACGTCTACATTTCACAGGTACCCTTACCTGGCATTCACAAATCCGGCTGGATCTCTATCATGTCTACCAAAAACACTAACACAGATGACCAAAATGCCGACGACGTGGAAACAATGGGGCGGCCGCGGCATCACGCACCCGAAGGTGTTATCCACCGAATCCTCCAACTCCTCGCCACTATCCCTGCGGCTCGCATGAGCTTTCTTTCCAAGCAGTGGGAAGGCCTCAGGTCTTCAGGCCGTGTATTAGATTTCGTGGAGGACAACCTTGATGGCGAACTTGATGATCGACCAAGAAACTTCATCAACACTTGCGGCAGGTACTTAGACCAGTTCCGTGAGTGCGACAAGATTTCCATACACAAATTCAGGCTTCACATGAGGTACTCTTCCAAAGACGCTAACATGGTCGATGAGTGGTTGAATTTTGCAGTTGAGAGAGGGGTGAAAGAGTTGGATATCAACCTTCCATCCGGAGGTAAAGGGGACAAGAAATATTGCTTTCCCTTGCAGACCATTGCTAATGCTGCAAAAACTCTAACTAGCTTAAATGTGGAGAATGTCGAATGTGATCCATATTTTTCTTTTAGAAACACAGTACCATCTACCACCTTTCTGTCCTTGAAAAGTTTGTCCCTTAAAAGTGTGATGTTGTCGTGCTTCTACATGTTCTTCCAAGGTAAATTCAAGTGCCCTTCCATCGAGTATTTGTCATTAACGTCATGTGGTTATTACCATATTTGTTTGTCAAGCCCCAGTCTTAAATCCTTGGAAATTATGCTCTGCCCTGATTTGTGGAAGATCGGAGTACTTGATGCTGTGAATCTTGAATCTTTTAAATTTGTTTCAAGTTCGGAATTGGTTGAAAGATACAGCTTGAAACATGTCTTTATCAGTGGAGCTAAGCATCTGAGAAACTTTGAATTATATGGATGCAAAGATAATGTGAAGGCGACAATCATTACTCGGAATATGTCTTTATCTATGAGTGGTTTTCTGAAGTGTAGCTCTTTGGATCCAGAGTTATGGGAGGCTAGAATCACACTTCCAGATACTGAACTACCCGCCTTTGACTGCTCATCTAAACACTTTTCTTCTCTGCGAGATTATCTTGAATGTTTTGATTGCTTCAAAGAAATTACACTGGAAGTTGACGACGCTAAGGTATATAAATATAGATATACATATACATGTGTGTGTGTTTATATATGCAGGCTTGATTGGTTTTGATCCCTTTCCAGTTTGTGTCTTTGATATATATATATATATATATATATATGTATATATGTAGTGTATATTCCATGTTTTGCGTTTAATCCTTACTGACAATTTCCATCTTCAAATTTTTGTTTGTGTGAATGTCGTAGGCTCTTATCTTTCCAGAAAACTTCAGACAGACCCACTCTCCTGTTGAGAATCAATGTCATTTGTAGGTGAAGTAAGTGTGTGAGGTTGGTGAAGTAAGTGGAGGTTGTAGGTGAAGTAGGTGGATGTTGTAGGTGAAGTAAATGTGTGGTGTAGCTTTCATTTGGTTTGCTATAAATAACCAAGTCCCCAAGCATTGTAAATCATCCAAGGAAAAACAAAGCCTAGAGCTAAATAAGAAAAGCTTTGCTAATTAGTTTGTTTTGTGAGCTTTCTTTAAGAGTGTGCTCTATTTTCTTCTTCTTGGGATCATTAGAGTTATCTTGGATACTCTTCTTATTCAACAATTGGTATCAGAGCCAAGTCGGTCAGGGATCGTTCTTGGTAGAGCATTGGTTGTAAAGTCTCTTGAAATTCCAGTATGCTCTGTGGTTGCAGTTTTGACTGATCTTCCACATCAGAAAAGATTTCTTGAGATTATTGCTGGGGTTATCACAAACCTTGAGAGGGAGCTTCTTTGTGTCGAGAGTAGTGTATTACTCTACACGGTAGTCACTCAAGCTTGTTCGGTGTAGTCAAAGTCTTGCCGATACGATGGGTGATCTTCAAGTTGTTGGAGGAATCAAGAAGCTCAACAACCAAAACTATAACACGTGGGCAACGTGTATAGAGTCTTACCTTCAAGGTCAAGACTTGTGGGAGGTTGTCGGTGGTAGTGAAGCTACACAACCGGCAGCGGAAGATGCTAACGGCGTCTTGCGGAAGTGGAAAATTAAAGCAGGCAAATCAATGTTTGCTTTAAAGATCACAGTAGAAGAAGAAATGTTGGAGCACATTCGGAATGCTAAAACGCCAAATGAAGCATGGGACACTTTTGTTACACTCTTTTCGAAGAGGAACGATACAAAATTGCAACTTCTCGAGAATGAGCTGCTATCGATGGTACAACGCGACATGACGGTTGCCCAGTACTTTCACAAGGTGAAGTCGATATGCCGCGAAATTTCAGAATTAGATCCAACAGCTCCTATTGGGGAAACCAGGATGAAGAGAATAATTATCCATGGTTTGAGACCCGAATATCGAGGGTTCATTGCCGCTATACAAGGATGGCCGACACAACCATCGCTTGTTGAGTTTGAAAATTTGCTTGCAAGTCAAGAAGCTATGGCCAAGCAAATGGGAGGAGTTGAAGGAATATTTGTGAAAAACATGTTCATTTAAGCAACATCAATAGCATGCAATTAACAATTAAAGGCGGAATCATGCTTGTATGCACTTAAAACAAAACATTTACCCATGAAATTCAAAGCCTAGTAGATAGGTGAACCAAGACTCAACTCAAAACAAAGTGAGTTGAGAAATCAATACCTTTGTAGATTCCTCTTTGCATAAGCAAAGGCTAATCACCCAAAGAGAGGGCCTTCATTCCTTGCATCTTAGATCCATGGATTTGGATGGATGAAAAGGTTTCTCCAAGTTCCCAAAATTGAGAACCTCTAATTATTCATCACCAAGGCATAATGAAGAAGAAATGAGTGACCTTGGAGGAGTTTGATTGCTAGATGATCCCTCCAAGGTGGCCTAAATTTTAGAGAGAAATGAGAGCTTGTGTTCTCATCCTTTCCTCAAAAATTACCATATGTAAATTTTAGGCTATAAAGTCCTTTATATAGTCCCTTCAAATAAGTGACCTAATGGACCAAAAGCCCTATTCTTCTAACATGGCAAGCCTATAGGGTTTATTGGGCTTTCAAGCCCTTTGTTTATTCAAGTTGTCATACAACTTGAGTTAATGGGCTTGACATTCAAATCCCATTGGGCCTTGCGGCCCAAAACTAACCCGAGGTCTTTAACGAACTTATTCGTTTGATTAATTAACATATTAATTAATCCTAGCCTTAGATAAATAATTAAACCATTTAATTATTCTTACTCATCTCCGTTGTTTCTTCAAACTCTACCTTACTCGGTGAACGATCCATTAGGTTCCTTTTAGCGAGGCAGTGGGCGATTAAAACTCTTTCTAATCGATTGTGAATTGAAACTTACTTTCAATTCTCCCGTTAGTGATAATACACTTTTAGGGCTTCCACAAACCATGGTTGACGCTTAGCAGCATGTCATGGTTACCCAAGCTAATCAGAAGAGGTGGAGAACCTATTCAGTTTTAGGATTACAAATGCAATACGGTCTTTCTCTAATACAATACTCTTGACCACATTGTTTGGTTTGATAGTTTATTCATGTCTACTATCCAATGTGAGTCTTGTGCTTATATGATTACCTTGAATGTGATTTGGAACACATTCCTAAATCTCATTCATACTTTGGCCAAAGATTCTTAATCATATCATAGAGTATTCTCCCTCAAACAGTTTGAAGGTTAGAGATCCCTTGTTGCGCATTCACTTGCCTCCATGGCTAAGTGGCTTAACCCCAACGATGCCATGAACACCCTCCTGATGGAGTGACTTTGACATAATCAAAGATTAAGGACCTAACCACAAGACAACTGTGATGCCTCAGGTCAAAAGACTAATTTGCATTATCCCAACCATGAGTTCTCATGTGACATGAATATGAGAACTCTTCGTTGATCGTGTTCAGTGAACTCATTCTCTATTGAGCACCTACGTACTTATCTTGATGTCACACACACCAATGACTCGAGACTAGTCACTCTCCCTGAGAGAAGACATAGCACGTACTGATCTTAACGGACTGTCAATGCCCAATTGACAATCCTATGATCAGGAACGTTTAGGATGTGTCAACGAAAGAATGGTCTCATGAATCTAACTTCTTTAGATCGCATTCTTCCAATCACATATTCCTTGGACTTATCGTTTAAGCATATAACATTTATATGAGACGGCTCAAACAATAATGTTTGCCCTTAATATTAAACTAGATTAGTTTAACATGTGAAATGTCCATAAAGTATCATCATATGATTGGTTTTAGGGCACATTTCCAACATGAGTCTCACTGAAGAGTGAAGAGGAAGCGCTCTACACCAAAAGTAAAGGCAACTTTAAGCAGCGTGCTGGTGGTGGATTTAAAAGAAATGGTGACAAGGAAAAAGGTCATCAAGGAGGAGGGAGTTCTCGGCCAGGGGGAGCTCCGAAGTATCACGGCAACCGTGGTCAGTCCCAGAATAATAAAAGATTTGAGGGCAAGTGTTACAATTGTGGAAAGAATGGCCACATGGCGAAGGATTGCTGGTTCAAAAGGCCTGCAGAAAGTAACGTCGCCAACTCAGAGAAGAAAATTGAAGATGATTGGGATGTCGTTGCGTCTCTAGCTGTGGAGGAAGAATGGGACGCAGAAGCATCATCTTGTTGGTGCTCAGAAAATGAGGC